AAACGTCGAGTGGCCGCACTACTGTTATGGACCGCAAGCACCTGCAGAGAGTGGTAAGACACCAGGACTTCACTTCCCTCTCTGCAGAGTGTCTACCACTGCAGAGTCTGCAGGAAAGCCTCCTCCATCCTCAAGGACACCCCCAGGACGGACTGCTCACACCTCTACCCTCCGGTTGGAGGTACAGGTGTGTGAAATGTAGGACCTCTAAACTGAAAGACTCTTTCTTTCCCTCTGCCATCAGACTCTAAACAGCTGACAGGAGTATACAATCAGGATTTACTTCATGTAATCCCACCTGTACTGTTTACATTCCAAGTTTGCACATGCATAATTGCACACTCACTGCTGCCTATTGCACATTGTATTGTATCATACATTCTCTCTTTATTATATTCTTTGTTTTTTTTATTATATTTGTTTCTACTTGCTGTTTTTAAGTGCCTTAGATTTTGTGTTACTTATTTATCTACTTTATATTTCATTTGTATTTTGTGGCATTCATTGTGAACAGCAAAGTAAGAATTTCATTGTACAGAGAAACATGTTTCCTTACTGTGCACATGACGATAAACGCTATGAGTCTTCTGGCATTGTCGCCTCCCGGTGCCTGTTACAGTCTGACAGACCAACAGAATGACTTAAACATAAACCTAAAGATGGTAATTGATGATAAAGCAGTGACAACTGACAAATTACTATATTTGAAAAGGTGCAATCAAAGAATATTTGACATTTTACCTGGAAAGAAAAGATGTTGGATCAGATTCAGTGCTCAAACTTGTTGAGTACTTGTCTGAGTGTTGGCTGTTTCAGCACTAACCTACATACAGGAACTGAATGATGTAATTTGATGAAACTCTGACTTACACCCCCTTCATCCCCTCCTTTACAGCGGGAGTTCATCCAGTTCTGTAAAACGCTCTACAGCATGTTCCACAGCGACCCGGAGGAGAACGACCTCTTCCAGGCCATCGCTACGGTTACCAGTCTGGTGCTGCAGATCGGCGAGGCTGGCCACAGTGGACACAGCTCGGGGTCAGACATCACCGGCCAGGAGGAGGTGAAGGGAGCGCAGCCCACAAAGGTAGCTATTGAAGATGCCGGGGCCGGTGCCAGCAGGGGAGACAGGGGTGCGATGGCAGAGGAGTGGACAGTCAGCTATGCTCAGATCCTGGCGTCACTCCTGACTGAACAGGCGCTGGTGAACTTTTTCGAGAAGCCAGTGGATCTGTCTTCAAAGATTGCAGCGGCCAGAGAGAAGCAGTATCACCAGCGTGCAGGTTTGCTCACACTGCAGCACAGGACCAGCTGACTCCAATGTGATCAGTGGACTCTGAGCCTCAACACAGGCCAAATTTCTTATGAGGAAAACCACAATATTAGTCTGACTTGACTGTGACATGGAGCATCAGCTTCAGGCTCAGTAGCTTAAACTTACATGACATTTACTCTTTGTATAGTGCGACTTTGACTCCCTGATCTGTAGCTGCAGCTAACAGAAGTGTTTTTCCACAACATTTTGAGCCACAAAGACAGTTTTCAAACTCTGATTCTCAGCAGCCATGTACTGGTCAACCCACAGACAATATTAGTAAGATAAAAAATGTGCTCAGTTTGTCCGATGGGCCTGCAGTTAAACTGTGCTCTGGACCAATAATCAGTCACCGCTTTCTGTGTTTAAGTTGTAGCTACTTCAGTAAAGTTTAGTAAATGATGTACTAGTGCATTACAAATCAGTTATAAGCCATTAATTTGCTCTGTGGTGAGCCAGGTCATAGTCAAGTTAATAATAGCAGGTGTATCATAATCTAACCAGCCATTTTTATATTAAGCCAGTGGCCAAAGTTAGTAAGCAATCTGTAATTGAAAATGTAAATAATCAATAATAAAGGGCTTTTACAACATGTCATATAAATGTTAATTAGTTGTTAATAGATGGATTTTGATTTTGACCATCTTCCAGAAGGTCAGAGGTCAAACAGTCCATTGGTGTGACAAGTAAGCATCCTGCTGGAGAAGGACAAAGGCTTATAGCTGATGTATGAAGTATCAGGAAATGATATGACGTATATCATAAAAGCTGCCTTATTGAAAAGCAGTCGATGCTTATGAACAATGGTGCTGAGCTATGGCCAAATCTAGAATGCACTGCGTGTTCTTTTTTTTAAAATTGATTTTATAACTTGTTTCTTTAATATTAAAGGCTTCCATAGCTTTCACCTCAAGTAAAAATATTTTAGAAGCTTTTTCAGAATAATGGAAAATAACCAACCGTAATCTGAAACAGCTGCAGGAAGCAGAAAAAAGACGGCACTGGTGAAACTGTCCTTTAAAATAAATAACATGGCATAAAGATGTCACTTTTATTTTCTATTCTCTTAAAAGAAAATTTGTTTTCGGAGACAGTTTCTGCTGGGAGAGCTTATTTTCTCACTGTAACCATTGAATGTTGAAAGCTGGGCCCATATTCACATAAACATCCACAAATCAATGAACATTCTAGAAGCTACCACTTCCTAGTTATTATGCTGGTCAGCAGCCCACAACCAAATGTATAGAAGACGATAAACAGAGTCAAAGCTGAAGAAAAAGGAGGAGGCAAAGTGCTGCAGGAGCCTTGTGTGCTTTATTAACTACTGATTAAAGGTAGAGGACGTGCCTTACCCCAGGACCTAAATAACCGGAGGAAACAAAACACACATTCTACTAGTGGCCAGCCTTCAGAATAAAGGAGGGAAGTCGGAGGCTTTTCTCACACAACTCTTCAGGTGCGGTTCAGTCATGGAGGAGGTAGATGGTAACTGACTAACCCTTTTTCTCTCCATAGAATTTCCTTTATAGGCAACAACTTGAGCCCATAGTTTAGTCTGAGAGAAAACTCTCTCAGTACAGCTTGGACAAAAATGTTTTCTACATATTAAATATTTGTGAAATTTACAAAATAAAGGGCCAGGACATATGTTTGAGAGTCATGTTTTTCCAAGACAGTGTCTTAGAGCAGTTTAACAATCAGTTTGTCATTTATATTAGGCATTGTATGTATAATCAGAAATATTTCTGTGTTATGTCATGATGGTTATGTCAATCCACAGGCAACAGGGGCAGCAGTATATGAATGACAACAGAATTACAACACAATTCAAATACAGTTACAGAGCTACAAGGTACTAACAGCTACACATTGTACTAAGCTACAGCTGTGATCACAGAAGACCAATCAGTTTGCCCTGTGGATGCGTCTCACCCACTCCCTAGGGACAATGGGTGGGCCTCGTCTTTAAATCGCTTCAACATAGTTGGCTGGCAGCATGCCGGTCTTGCCGGTGCGTTGCACAGTACCGTACATCCAGCCCTCGTCAATGGACTGCACGTTAAGAATGACATCGCCATCTTTAAAGGACACCTCATCGCTGTCGGCTGCGCAGTAGTCGTACATGGCACGCACGGTTTTCTGCAGAGAATGAGGAAGACTTGGTCAGATTCAAAGCGTAAAAAGGGAAGAGTTTACAGGAAAAGGTTGGTGAATGTTACCACACCACATGATTCAGCCAGACTCGGATGAAGTCGTACTACAGCTTAGCAGCTGCACAATAAGCTCATTGCACTTGGATATAACAGAGGTTACCTCACTGGGGGCCATCAAACAAGCTTTTCATGGGATGTTGTGTTAGTCATGTTTTCCCTTCTGGCTTGTGGAGTGTGTGTCATTTGAAGGTGTGTTACTCACTCCAGTGGTAGAGGGGTGTGAGGGGATGGAGGAGACTGTGGTCTGCTGAGTGGCAACAGATGATGACCTCTGCTGCACCTCCACAGTCTTAGCATGTTGGTAACCTGCAGACAGGAGGGGGAAAACAATGGCCAGTCTGATCACTGTTTAAGGATACAGTCACACCACAGTGTGTGGATGCTACACACCATGTATTTTATCTGTGATGTCTGGTAAAATCCTCTTGACATGGCAACACATCACACACTAAAGGGTATTTGTTGAAAATTGCTGTGGTGACTCTGGATCATTACCTGACGTGGTGGCCATGAAGCCGTTGCTGTAGAGGGACAGGTGGTGGTCAGCATCCTGGGACAACTCGGACTTCTCATCAGCCCCGCCACTCAAAGCGCTGGTGGAACGGGAGTGCTCCTTGCTGCGACGTTGAGCTTGCACTGTCACAACAGCATCAGTGGTTAGATACACTGGCTGGTACAAATCTGTTTAACATGCATGGAATGTATATAATTACAGCTATGTTGCACGTTAACAAGCATTAATTAACTAGTCCTGTATTGTTCAAAGCAGCTGACATGTTTAAAATCCTTTAATTTTCTTACAACTACATTATACAGTGTTTTAAAATAACTGCTGAATTGAATGAAGGCTTTAAATGTTACTATTGTTTAAAACCACAATAAGGTAACTCAAAAACTGATGGTCATATTTCTGTTTGTTAGTATTTATTTACATATCACAATATAATGGGCAGGTTGCTATGAATTATACAGAGCACATCCTCCTTCCTCAGGCCAAATGATCCTATAATACATGTAAATAAAGAAAGAATAAATCAATCAAGAATAAATCAATCAATAAATAGCTTATGATCTTTTGGTAAACATGAACTAAATTCCATTTATTCATCCAAAACACAAGGATAACCACCTTTATTTGGCCAAGTATGTTACAAGGAATTTGTTTCCGGTACAGAACCGAGGCAGCCATCTGCGGTGCCAACTCAACTGACGGCTCTAATCATCGGGGGCAACGGGTTCAGTGTCTTGCCTAAGGACACTTCGACATGTGGACTACAGGCACCGAGATTCGAATCCCCAACCTTCTGGTTGGGAGACGACTGCTCTACCCACTGCACCACTGTCGCCTAAAGTATATCTACTTGTTTAGAGGTATGAAGCGATCCTTTTGAGTTTCGTATCTCACCTGACATCATGTGAAGACTCCTGGACTGGATGTTGTCCTCAGCAGGGTCGTAGTCGAACACGGAGCCAGGGTTTGTACGCCACACACGCAGATCTGAGGGCACAGAGTCAAATAGAGGATCAGTGAAGCAGTTACCAGCTCTAAATAACCAGTCTCAGTCTGTTATGTAAAATGTGTCTCAATCTATGTACACAGTTATCCCCATGTCTCACATTTGAGTCAATCTATGGAGGAAGTCAAAAGTTCATTTAACAGCACTTGAAGCTGCTTCAGTAGATCTGTAGTTTGGGAAGTGGGTCAAAAACACTATTTTATCATATAACCAATGGAATATTTTTCCTTTTCTTAAGGATCTTTCACAGATCATCATTTATTTTTCAGAAAACAGACCTTTAGCTTTGTGATTACATTGTAACAAATCTGATTTCAAATCTATTACAGTTACATGTAACTTATTATTTATTTGCTAAGAGGGATGAAGCTAATGACTATGTGCCTGCTTTGACTGTACCAGTGATGGTCTCATGGTCGTGCTCCAGGGCACGTCTCCTCTCCATCTCCACCACACGTCTTTGGATGCCACGGTAGGTGATGTCACTGAAGTCTTGGGTGTTCCTCTTCACACGCTCCGTCACAAGGTCGGAGATGACGGGAGTGAAGCTGCCCTTGGTCTTCTCGAAGTCCTCGTGGTATCTCACCTGGAGAGCATAGGTCACAACCACATGAAGTGTAATCTCAGTTTACACATGCAAAGGCCACTCTGGAAATACATATACACCTCTGTCATTCTGTTATTTCTATGCTCCAGGACAGTCAGTAGTGATGGACATGTACCACTACACTGGCTGAAGTAATTTAACGTGATGTGGAACATTACAACAACATTTGCTGAGACAAGATACATGCAGTCAGATGATCAGTCAGTAGTACAACCATGCAATTTAAAATCACAAATCCTCATCCTTTGTATAGCCCAATATGACTAATTTGACTAAAGAAACTTAACAGCTTAAATAGTCACTAGAGCACCAGATGTGATGTTAACTTCCAATGAAAAAAAGCACAGTCTACTCCAGTTTGAGTGAGTGTGATGTTAACTTCCAATGAAAAAAAGACCCCAACAAAAGTACAGTCTACTCCAGTTTGAGTGACTTGACCAAGTTAACCACCAAACTTGGCGACCTGGGCATCAGCACCTCCCTCTGCAACTAGATTCTGGACTTTCTGACCAACAGGCCTCAGCATGTTAGGTCAGACAACACCTGCTCCTCCACCATTATCCTCAACACCGGCGTACCACAGGGCTGTGTGCTGAGCCCATTCCTCTACTCCCTTTTCACCCACGACTGTAGGCCTGTGCATGGCTCCAACACCATCATCCAGTTTGCAGATGACACCATAGTGTTCAACCTCATCAGCCTACAGGGAGGAGGTACAGCACCTGGCTGTGAGGTGCGCTGACAATAACCTGCTCCTTAACACCAACAAGACCAAGGAGCTCATTGTGGACTACAGTAGGGAGAAAGGAGGTACACATGACCCCATCCATATTAATGGGGTGGTTGTTGTACGTGTCTCCAGTTTCAGATTCCTTCTTCCTGAGGACACTGAAGAAGAACCATCCTGGTGAACTTCTACCACTGTATCACAGTCTGGTATGGAAACTACTCTGTCTGAGACCACAAGGCGCTACAGTGGGTGGTGAAAACTGCCCAACAGGGACTCCACTTCCAGCCACTGAGGGTGTCCACAGGGAACGCTGTCTCCAATGTGCTCGAAGCGTTCTCCAGGACTCCTCTCACCCTGCTCACAAACTGTTTGACCTCCTGCCCTCTGGGAGGTGCTTCAGGAGCCTCCGGACCAAAACCAGTAGACTCAGGAACAGCTTCTTCCCCACAGCTGTCTCCTTATTGAACTCTGTCCCCCATTGACCCCCCACTGCCTTCCTCTATACCACTACACACACCCCAACCCTTTCTCATCTCATCTCTCCTCCTGGGACTAATACTAGGTATTAGCAAATTGATAATGGATTAGCATTTGTGGATATGTGTGAAATTATGTGTGTTGACATGTCGACTATCTTTACATGCTTGAAAGAATCAATCAATCAATCAATACAATACTCTTCTGTTACCTGTAACACTGACGTGATCTGTTAATTTGCACATACTCACAGAATACTGCTCTGTATTCATTTGGACACTGTTCACATGCGGATACTGTACATTTATCTTTATCTTTGCATTATTTACATCCATTCAACTGTTCATTCATGTAACTTGTTTCCTTATTCTGCACCGTTTCATTCCATCTCATCTCATTGCACTAGTGTTTTATAAGCTTAATGTACTTTGTCCATTACTGTAATTTAAATCCATAGCCTGTTGTACATCGTACATTACCCTACATACAGTATCTTACTGTAGATATCATTTGTACATATCTATTGGTAAATTAGTTCTGACTGTACAGACTGTAGATACTGTGCACTTTTCACTGCTGTTATTGCACTTCCGGTTAGATGCTAAAATGTATTTTGTTGCCTTGTACATGAGTAATGACAATAAAGTGGAATCTAATCTAATATTTTCAAAATCTGCAGTGGTCAGCTGTTTTTAAGAAATTACTGAGCCTTTTTTAGAAATACAAGTACATATTTGTGACCCTTTTCTTAGTTATATACTGTATATTTTGACATTTTGCCTCTATTCAAAGTCTGTTTTGAAGATGCTGACTTGCAACATGGGGAGAGAGAAATGGGGTATGACATGCAAGGAATGCAACAGCTGGAGTCAGTAGAGACATCAAACTACTTGGACTAACACATTGTTGGGTTTGGTTTGGCTAGTTTGTAGTAGATGAAGTAGAAAAAAAAACTTAAGATGCAAAAAGACAATTAAATAGACAAGTACAAAATCTTACCCCGGAAATGATGCGCTGAGAGTCCCTGACGCGCCTCAGCTCAGGTGTGTCCAGAATGAAGGCGGCCTTGCCCTGGACCTGCTTACGGAAACTGTCCGAGTACAGCACCTACGGCAGGGGACAGTGGGGACGTGCCGGTGGAGGAGCAGAGGATAAACAGTGAGTGTCTGAACTGGTTCACACCTGAAACCATCAAACTGTAGCCATTAGCATCCACAGCACAAAGGGTGGGGCGAAGAGACTGAATGATAAGAGGACACACAGAGGTTCTGGCAGAATGAGCTGCAGCATTTCTGGGATTTCAGACAAGAGAATTAGGGGGGTGATTTTTATTAAGAGGTCAAGGTATTAAATGAAACAGGATTACATCCCAATCTTCAGTGGGAGGACGACAGGGGGGTAAGGTGGCAGAGTTTCAACAGGAGAGGTTAGCAGTGATGATGTGCACACACACACACCACAGCTGATGGGATTAAACACATTTAATAAAAAAAGAAAAAGCACAGTGGTGAGAATTAACACCATTAACTAGAGCTGGGAGACAAGTCAGTTAGAAAAGGGTTAACACAGAACAGAAGCAGAACAGCTTCTAGCAGTGTTTTAGAAGGTACCGAGCTAATATTTTCTTGGTTCCTTTTGACTCGCTCCATCTCGGGAGTAAACACCACAGGAGTTCCCTTGGCTGAAGTGTCTTTATACATCACCTACAGGATAGACAGACAGCCCCCAGGGGCCAATCAGACAGTGAACCATACACAGACCACACACCTATAGGACTGGTTTCATAGACTTGGATTCAACTCAGGAAATTTCCCAGATCAACTGATCTCACAGATGTGACAGATGTTGCTTTCAGTTAATGTGACATTTGTTGCTTTTGTAATATACTATAGAGTCTGAGAAAATGGTCCTATAGAGTGACTCATCCTGCTGTTGAACAGCCAGGATTGCTGTTGTAGAAACAGATGTGGAAACAAACACACTCCTCATACTTCAGCAGTTTTTTTTTTGAAGTGGAAATTAACATAGCAGCAGGTGCCTAATACGAAGAAAGCTGGGCTACAGGTTAGGAAATGCTGTATATTTGAAGGGGGCCCTTGAGGAGCATCAGAGGCCAAAGAGGAGGGTTTTACTCAGCTTGAAGGGTTTGACTGCCAAGGATTAAAGATGATTAGAAAGAAAGAAATGCATAGATTAAAATTAAGGGAAAGTAGGGTTAAAGTGGTGCTGATGGCAGGACTGGGGCTCAGGAAACTCAGGGTGTAGATGAGGTGATGAGAGTGTAAGCTGAAAGCAGGAGGAGGGGGAACAGCACATAGTTTTATGATAGGTATTACTAATGAGCACTACTATCTACACTCAACAGTTAGGAGCACACGTGGTTCGGTTTTGTTCCACTACCGAGCTGATGTGCCTCTGGGTTTCTCTGACACGCTTCACTTCAGGGAGGTCCGGGATAGCTGTGGCCCGACCAATAGATTCCCTGTATTTTATCTACCCAGCAGTTTGGGTTTCATGTGGGGAGAGTAGAGGAAAAAGGAGAAAAGCAAATCAATCAGAGACAACTGAAGAAAGATAAAGAGAGAAGAGACACAGCACAGCACCAAAAGCACAGCAGACATGAAATATGGGATTAAACACAGTTTTTTCCTGAGAAATGAAGAAGCAGATTGTGTTAGACAGGGTTTGATGTGACAAACACAAATGTTTGAACATCTGATAAAGTCTAAAGAGTTGTTATGACACTGTGTTTGATGGAGACGAGGAGTAAGGCAGAAGGGCAGATGAAAGCAAACAAAGCGTCACTCTGTAGAATACCGTGCTAATATTTTGCTGATTGCGTTTGACTCTCTCCATCTCTGGGGTCTCTGATACTGATGTGCCTTGTCCCACACCTTCTTTGTATTGAATCTTTGAATGAGACAGCACAAAAAAGTCAAATATGGTGGTAACATATATTTGGCAGGTTAGTTTAAGTTGAGTAGGGAGGGGAAATGCCAAAAACAAAAAAACTCAAAAGAAAAAATAAACAAACATCCAGGGAAAATGTTACTTTTGTGGAAATATGGCTGGTAAATAGGAGTGATTTATGAAGCATAGTTAGGATGGAGGAGGGGGAAACAGTACAAAAAAAGACTTTTAGACAGGTCAGAGAGGTCAGAGGGCGTTTGATGAATGATAACAAAGGGTTAAAATAAGGGTCACTGCAAGTCTGTTCCTCTACCAAGCTGATATTCTTCTGGGTATCTCGGACCCGCTTCACCTCAGGAAGATCTGGTATGGCTGTGCCTTGACCCATAGAATCCTTGTACTGTATCTGCCCATTACATAGGTTACACAGGTACAGAGTCAGTCAGGGACCAACAGAAACAATGTACTGTACACATAGACATGCCCATCCATCCATAACAAAAGCACACACTTTAGAACAACTCATAACACAAAGTGATTACTTATACTGACTTTTTAAGATTTCAGTGGTAGTTGAGTACTTTGAAAATGAGCAAAGATGTTAAACATGTAGTTTCTTTTTAAAAATCAGTGGTCTGTCATTTAGTTTGACACTTGGAGGGGTTGGATGCAGTGAATTATCATGAGAGAAAAAAATTATGCAGAGCTTTCAAAGTCTAGCTACCAAGCCATCAAACAAGGTTGGAGTGGAGTTTATGAAAGTTATTAGGATGGAGGAGGGAAAACTGGTAATAAAAACACAAAAGGTAAGGTTTTCTAGCTTTTTAGACTAGGCAGAGGGTTCCAGAGGGTGTTTAAGGAATGGCTATAAAGGGACAAAAAGGATCACTGCAAGCCTGTTCCTCTACCAAGCTGATATTCTTCTGGTTATCTCGGACCCGCTTCACCTCAGGAGGATCTCGTATGGCTGTGCCTTGACCCACAGAATCCTTGTACTGTATCTGCCCATTACATAGGTTACACAGGTACAGAGTCAGACAGAGACCAACAAAACACAGTATGTACTGTACACACAGACAAATCCATCCATTCCATATCATTAACTTCAGAATAACCTACAATAAAACGTTATTACTCAGACTGATTTTCACATTTCAGTGGTAGTTGAATACTTTGGAAATAAGGATGTAAAATATGCAGGTTTCTTTGTCAAGATGGATGATACTTCATTTGGTTTAGATGCAGGGGGATTATCATGACAGAGCTCTCAAAGGCTATCAAGTCATCAACTAAAAAGGAGTGACTTATGAAACTTATTAGGATGGAGGAGGGAAAACTGGTAGTAAAAACACAGAATGTAAAGTTTTCTAGATGTTGGGAGAGGTGGGAGAGGTCACAGGGCATCCTGAGGAATGAATACAAAGTAATAAAATAAGGGACACTGCAAGTCTGTTCCTCTACCAAGCTGATATTCTTCTGGGTATCTCGGACCCGCTTCACCTCAGGAGGATCTGGTATGGCTGTGCCTTGACCCATAGAATCCTTGTACTGTATCTGCCCATTACATAGGTTACACAGGTACAGAGTCAGACAGAGACCAACAAAACACAGTATGTACTGTACACACAGACAAATCCATCCATTCCATATCATTAACTTCAGAATAACCTACAATAAAACGTTATTACTCAGACTGATTTTCACATTTCAGTGGTAGTTGAATACTTTGGAAATAAGGATGTAAAATATGCAGGTTTCTTTGTCAAGATGGATGATACTTCATTTGGTTTAGATGCAGGGGGATTATCATGACAGAGCTCTCAAAGGCTATCAAGTCATCAACTAAAAAGGAGTGACTTATGAAACTTATTAGGATGGAGGAGGGAAAACTGGTAGTAAAAACACAGAATGTAAAGTTTTCTAGATGTTGGGAGAGGTGGGAGAGGTCACAGGGCATCCTGAGGAATGAATACAAAGTAATAAAATAAGGGACACTGCAAGTCTGTTCCTCTACCAAGCTGATATTCTTCTGGGTATCTCGGACCCGCTTCACCTCAGGAGGATCTGGTATGGCTGGGCCTTGACCCATAGAATCCTTGTACTGTATCTGCCCATTACATAGGTTACACAGGTACAGAGTCAGACAGAGACCAACAAAAACAATGTACTGTACACACAGACAAATCCATCCATCCATAACAACATACACCTCAGAATAACTTGCACTGGTTCTCACATATTTCAGTGTTAGTTCTGAAAAAATGGATGATAGTTCGCTTAGTGTATTACTTCAAATGCAATGAATTATCAGAAAGAAAAATCATACAGCACCCTCAAAGTTCCAGTAGATGATGAAGATGTTGTGTCAACAATTTATTTACAGTGTCTTTGGGGGCACTGCAATATCGATAATTGGTTCAAAAATAAAAAAAGTAAAACAAGCTTCGTGGTTGTATACCTCTGCCAGTCAAACAGTCAAATTCACAGGTATGAGACAGAAGTAAAGTTGCCGACCCTTAACCACCAAAATCTAATCAGTTCATCTTTGTGTCCAAGAGGACATTTGTGCCATATTTGAAGAAATCTTCTTGTTCACAAGAATCGTACAGACGGACAACCCGAAAACATAATGCCTTTTTGCCACAGCTATTGCCAGCGCGGAAGCAAAACAACTTGGGTTAAAAATGGTAATTTGAGGAGATTAAATGTGAAAACAGGTCTGGTTATATTCTTGGACATTAGAAAAGAGGGAATATGGAGGGAGCTGGGTTGAAGAGGAGGATAAGACGGAGTACAGGTTCACTCTGTGGAATACCATGCTAATGTTCTGCTGGTTGCGTTTAACTCTCTCCATCTCAGGGGTCTCGGGTAAAGCTGTTCCTCCTTCCAAATCGTCTTTATACTGAATCTTTACGTGGACGAAGAATAAAAGCAACAACCAGGGATTATTAATTTTTGTAAAATGGGGCTACAGTAGATGCTTGATTTAACTTCTAAACGGGCACATGTCAAGAAAACTACACTGAATGAGACAAACATCTAAAAGAACATTTAAAAAACAACTTTTGTCTGAACATGTGCACAACAACATGGTACCATGGACAAAGTATGTAACATCACACAAGCTCTGCACTAGTGAGTCTAAATGTTACTACACAACAAACTGTCACGGGTTAGTTGCGTGAATTAAAATGCTGCATGTTTCACAAGGTTAAAAAAAGTATTTGTTTGGTCAAAATAAATAATAGCTACATATCAGTGTTATTAGAAAATGTTAAAATATAAATATATATATATATATATTATGGAATAGATACCAAGCTGAAATTCTTTGTATTCTCTTTAACACGGAGCATTTCAGGAGTGTCCTGTACAGAAGACACTTTGCCCTTTATGTTTTTAAGGTCAATCTGGTATTGAAGCTACAGGGAGAAAAACAAAAGTGCAGTTAAAATGTTTCACAGTGATACAGAGAAGAAAGAAGAGAAGAAATCCAGGATACTAAAAAAGTTGACCTTAGTCTCTGCTAAGGATTAGCATAAAGGCTATTGCCAATATATCTTTGAGTAACACATACAATACTACTTCGATTATGAAACAATGACAGAAAACACAGTATTTACATTTGGGTTCAATTAAATTAGAGCAATACTAATGTGAAAGACATTCCATTAACAGTACATGAATATAAAATACTGAAGATAATACTTTACAGCAGACATAGAGACATACACAGAGCCGCCAGGTCCTGCAACAGTCGAAGACACGCTGCTCGAGTAAGAACCAGCATAATCCATTTGTTTACTTTCATTACTTACAGTGCTGAAGTTCCTCTGGTTCTCACGAACTCTCAGCATCTCTGGAGTGTCCAAGACGGACACATAGTGACTCATGGTCTTTTCAGCGTCCTCTTTGTACTTTTTCTGTTGGGTAAAAACACAACCAGCAGGTATAACACTTGAATACAGTCTAATATTTAAAGCCTGTTTGTTTGGTTTGAAATATGTCCAGATACACAGGTAAACAAACTTGAAAGTGCTATTTTTTTCATTCGTTTCAATCTCGGACTGTAGAGAATGGTTCAGTCCATAAGTCTACCTGGCTGATCATTGTCTTCATTTGCTGAGCGTGGATGATGTCTGGGGTGTCGACAACAGACGTGTAGCAGGCCCTGTCCATCTCAGCGGTCTGCTTGTACTTTATCTGAGGAAAAAACATGTTAGTGAGAAGTATAAAAGCCTTTGGATCATATGCAGTATTCTCTACATTGACATCTCCAAGCAAAATATATAATAATATTAAGCGATAATTCAGACCTGACTAAGGATGTCGGTAGCATTCTTGGCCCTTGCAAAGTCTGGGGTGTCTGTAGCCAAAGCCAACATTCCTCTGCCCTTGATCTCCTCCTCCAGTGCCTTCCTGTACTCTTTCTATAAATGTTACAGGTGATAAAGTGTTACAGTATATAAAAGCAGTGTGCTCACTAAAAGCAGACATACTTATTCATATTAAGGGAAAAACCATGGTACACAGGAGAACACTTGGACAACAGATGGTGCATGAAGTTCAATTCAAAACTGAAATAAAAAGTGGGGTAGTTAAGGAAAGCATGTTAAAGCACAGTTATTTATTTTCAACGACCACGTGATTTTGCTTAGTTTTTTTTATTTTATTTCAGTCTGTTTAACAAAAAGTGCCTGAACTCCAAAAACCAGCCACAAAAGCATCTCAAGAGGTCTGGATCATGGCTGGATCATGGCAGCAGGCATTTTTCTTTTTCCTGCTGTACTGCAGGTGGGCTAGAGCTGCCTGTCTACATGAGATGTAAAATACTGTACATATAACCAAAACCTAAAACCCTTAAGAAAAGAACACTACATGTTCAACTGTAGAATTAAAATAAAACCTTTAGGCTTGGATTCATTGTAAATGTGACACACTGAGCACTATGCCTCGATGTCTGTCTTAAAATAAAACAAGTTTATCTAGTTGTTTTTTTTTTATATTTATAAGACATTAATGAAGGAGCATTAGAAAAACATAATGGGAAAACTATATACAGTGAAGGTGAAGGTTATGAGAACATTTTTTAAACCTCAGGAACAGGAGCGTGCTGGATAATTAGCGATGTCATGTAGCAGGGACAAGAGTCCAACCCAGCAGCTGCCCTTTTAGTGCGATGATTAGTTAAGAGGGAACAGGATTCAGCAGATGAAGCACCAAGAACAAGCTTGTAGAGGGTCACTCAAAAGAAAATGTGATGCCACTCGCATCAACTTGTCAGTCCTACCTCACACAGGATGTGAGTAGCATTCCTTGCTCTCAAGCGCTCCGGAGTTTCCTCCAGTGCACTTAGCCCTTTACCCTTCACTCCTTCTTCTAGATCCCTCCTGTACTCTTTCTACAGGACAGAAAAAGAACAGAAGGACTGCAGAGAAGGGCACACAGACAAACCAGGCCAAGACATACATACAAACAGTACGGTGGACGTGCTGTCCTGCTTGTCCTTTGAGCTCAAGTCACTAAGCCTTTCGAAAACAAACAATTCAGGTAGGCCTACTGTGTTATTACTTTAAAAGAAGATTGTCTGGCAAGTATGTGGCTGTGGAAAGTGGACAGAGGTGTCACTATTCTGGGGGACTTATACAAGGGAGGCAGAATTACGTTTTGGGAGTTATCACAATAGTATGGCCTTGATAGAGCTCATTATTGGAGATATTTTCACATACATCATGTTCTGAAGGCATCATTTGGGCCTTATCCAGGAGCTCTGCAACCAACAGGGTTTTGGGATCCCTCGTGGATTTGGGGGTCGCCTTTGAGGACCAGGAGTGGGAGAGTATTTGTGCCAATGGTGGCATTATAGCTAAAGATTCAAGGATTTGACTTATTTGGTTTAAAGTAAAGTATAGATTTTACTGGACTCCATGTAGACTAGACAGGGGCTGTTAAGGTCAATGCATTGTAAGATGGCCAGTGACTCAGTGACACAATATGGTCAACAATGTACATATTTACATAAATAAATGTCATTAAAGAATTGTCACAATTTCACACAGAGAGAGAAACTTAAGCAAGAATCTTGATAAAAGACAATGAACCACATTTTATGAGTTAGTGAAAACAAAAACAACAAAATGATTCATGACGGTGTTCCACCTTAAAAACTACTGGCGCACCATTCAAAAGATTACATGGATGCATGCAGATGTTTTAATCTCCACAACCTTAGTTAAGAGTTAATAGGAAAAACTGGGAATCCGAGATGTAAATGGATACAGATATAAACAATAACTAACTATAACTACTCTACAACAAATCACACAATGGATAAATGTTGCACTGTTAATAGTTTAGGGCTGTGTAGTGAAGCATGCAAAAGAATTCAGACTAAACTACCTGGGCAGACTTACAAGAGGGAAGGAAACACTTATGGGATTAAAAAAGTTGGATCAACAAAGAGGGACTGTGGCTGTGACATAGTCTTAATGGGATTATAAAACATGGGTGAGGTAAACGATGGAGGTTGTCAGGGATAAATTATCCTTAATTACCTCACTGGCTATTTGGGTGGCGTGTTTGACATGTATCATGGCAGGGGTGACCTCCAAGCCTGAGAGGTTCTTGCCCCTCATGTGCTCTTCAAAGTCCTTCTTATAGTCTTTCTATTGGCCGCAGAGATAAGACAGGGGACAGATAGGGCTCAGATAACCACATGCAAGCTTCACAGTGCAATTTCATCCTGGTTTACACCATGTTGCTTATAATGACACCTGCTTCATGAAAATCAAACTAAACTTATTGCATTATTAAAAACTTCAGGCTCGTTAGACATTTTTGAGACAGGTATGTTTGCATTATAAGCAGATGATGTAGCTTACATAAAATTACAGAACAACAATACAAAAAGTTTCATTTTAACATTTTACACTGCCTTTTTTAATTACTGTATTATTGCAAAATGCTGTGGAAGTGACAATTTACTGTGATCTAAAAAAGAAAGTATTCAACAAGTCACAGGATGCTGTAGTTTATAAGCATCTAAACCCAGTCTTGATTTAATAAAGTGGCAT